GCTAAATATATTTTTAAAAAATTGAGAAAACACTTGATTGACGAACGAACAATCCATTCAAGGAATGTTAAACAAGAAAGAATCAATATCGAATTTTTTCTGAGTTTCACGCACACGGAACATTGCGCTAGAATGACATATTTGACGCTAGAAGAACATATATAATTGTTGAAATTAAACGAACTGATAATTAATACATCGCATTAAGGGTTTTCACGCATTCGACGATTTGAAATTAGAGGGAATTCCTGCGCAACGTGCGAAAATATGTCTGAAATATCGAGAGCCGTGGGGTCAGAAACAAATTCCTGCTTAATTGTTCTCACGGTGTAATTAATCGCGACGCAAGCGAGCCTAAGTCCACTCCATTTTCTGCGCTTTAACATTTACAAACTGTAAAGCTACCATCGCCGTCGGAATTTACGAGCTTCTATAAAATCCTCCACACGAGTGGAACGTTCTTGCAACGATGATAAAGCGATGATCGCCTCGCCTTCTCCTGGCCGTAAAAAAACCTATCGAACGACCCGCCAAAATGAACCGGTTAAAAACCAGTCTCGTGAATCCAGCTCCTCGGTGAACGGAGTGAATTTTCATGTGGAAGGTATTTTCATATGAACGATCTTTGAAAATGATTCCCAGACGTCTGAAAGCAGGAGAACTGTGGATTCGATACATGAGCGCGGAATTGTGCATTCAACGGATCGATCCAGCACGATCTTTCGCATCGCGGTCGCACTTAGCCCCTCGACGTATCTGTTGTTCGTGGCTGTGCTGCGAAGACTCGTGAAGACTCGTAGTTAGCAATTCCCGTTCCTTTTCCACGGCGAAACCGGGGAAAGAGGATCTTTAAGAGAGTTTCGTGGCTGGTTTCCGGTCGGATAACGACGGAATTAACTCGCACGAATTCGTGTTGCCAAGTGGTTCTGCTGGATAATCAATTTCACGAAGGACTAAATTAAGGAAAAGGGAGCTAATTCAGTCGTTTAAATAGAAAAATAATTAATTCGCGAATTAAGAAGGATACTTTGTTTCTAGAACGAAAAATTTAAGAAGCTGAGGAAAAATTGTGCTCAAGAAGGAAGATTAACAATGAGAGTAAGTTAGGTACAATGTTATGTTTTTAAATTAATAATAAATTAATAATAATCAATTTCACGAAAGACTAAATTAAGGAAAAGGGAGCTAATTCAGTCGTTTAAATAGAAAAATAATTAATTCGCGAATTAAGAAGGATACTTTGATTTCAGAAAGAAAAATTTAAGAAGCTGAGGAAAAATTGTGCTCAAGAAGAGAAGATTAACAATAAGAGTAAGTTAAGTACAAGTGTTTTTAAATTAATAATAAACAGATTATTAGAAAATTAATGTAACTTTAAATTGATATAATAAATGGATTTTTTTATGATTAGATGGTGGATATTGGAAGAAAATTCAAAAGAATTAAAGGACAATTAATTTACATGAACTTGTGCAGAGAAAGGGTCAAGAAGAAATTGACAAAATTAATAAAAAACGCGTAGAGATTAATAAGTTTTGCTTAAAAGTAAATTAGTAAGTTCCAGGAAGTCTAGTTAAAAGTAAAATTTGACATGAAGAACGTAAAACAAGTGTCAGTCATACATACAATGCAATAATTTTTATGTATGCACGAAATCCACAACTCAACCTTACTTTTCCTTCTTCAGAATGAGAATTAGTGTTTGTGTCCTTGTAGAAGAAAGTTAAAACTAGCCCTGAAAGTTCTTGTACGAGATGGAAAATACGATTTGTCACGTTTTTCCTCTAGCGCTGCAGAACAGGTGAAAATAGAGAAAGAAAACTAGTGGTACTGTGGAAAACTAGTAGTACAGGTCAACGAAAAGACTGAGAGCAAGTGGAAGCAGTCTTCGTACTAACTCTGTCACGAGTAAAAAAGCGGTTCCTAAGGTTAAGGAACACTTCAAATTTACATAAAGCACACATTAATAATTAAGTATAAGGTAAATAGAACGAATAAATTTATAAAAATTTGTAAATAATTTATTCTTAAATTATTACAATCTCTAGTGGCCAAAGGATATTAGTTGAAAGTCGAAGAAATATAACTCAAATATTTCACCCACTTGGATATTATAGCAACAAATAAATAAATATATTCCGTGTATTTTGTACATTATCGGATTTTTAAATTGGATACTACTATTTTCAAATTATTCATCCCTCTTTATGAATTTCAGAGAAAGAGAGAGAAATTAATCGAATCTGTATAAAAAGCATTCTACGCGTTATTCTTGCGTTCAGGATACACAATTTTTTCTTTTTTTTTTTTTTGTCACTATCCATAGTAACCAAATCTTTCACCATTCGTAAATAACACCCAACGATATTAATCTCTTTCATCGGTCCACGACGTGCAAGCACGTACGCAAAAAGAAAGAAACAGAAACAGTGAAAAATTCACTCGTTGGCGACCGGAACGGGTGGAAACAGATTTCGAGATCCGCCGTGAATTCATTATCGACCGAAATATCGCGGCTCGCGCGGATACAGACGGAAATTTGCGGCCGGCTTGTAACAGCCGTTCGAATTGCGATTCGGGGAATTTAGCCGCGGCCGCGGATCGAAATATGCCGGCCGCTATGATAGGAACGCTACCGCGACAGCTCAACAAAGAAAACGGCAAGCAAACGCTCTCAAACTCGCTTGGCAACTCGCGTACACGCGGCGTTCGCGCGCGGTATTACGTGCCGCGAGCGATCGTAATACCGCGCGTGGTCCCGTGGTTCCGTGACTCGGCAACGTTAATTAGCGATTTTACTGCCCTTAAGTTCGAGCTTCGTTGCAATCGTCGGCCAACCGGCATAAACTTCGCGCGACACCTCGAGCCACCGCGCGCGTTCGTGACGATTCCATTCGTGGAACCACGCCGCCCCGTGCAACGCTTTAACCGAGTGTTCTCTTTCTCTTTCTCTTTCTTTTTTTTTTTTTAAAGCTGAAACTTTCCTGTCGCGCTGCTTTCTCTCTCTCTCTCTCTCTCTCTCTCTCTCTCTCTCTGTCTGTCTCTCTCTCTGGGGACGATTCGGTAGTTCACGCGAACTTCCTTCTCATTTCGAGAATTGCATCTCGTTGGTATCTGCTGGGAATTTTTTTCTTCTTCTTCTTCTTTTTTTTTTTTTTCTTTTTGTAGATGTTAGTTAGTAAAAGTTTCACTGCAGGAAACAAACGTCCCGTAGCTCTTTCAACTCTTGTTCGAACGGGAATGCACACGGTGGCAATCTTCTATTTTACACGACCGTAAAGCACCACAGACGCAAGTTGAAATTCACGACGAATCCTGGATAAATTGGAGAGTAAAGAGGGATAGCCCGAGACTTTTCGAGCGATAATGCACGTTTTCAAACGACCCTCTCGATCGCGTCGCCAGACGCCGTTTATCTAACCCTTCACTGGGTAAATTCACCTCCGAACCTTCATCCATGTTTTATAACGCTCGCAGCACGCTATAAATAAATAGCCTAAGTGATCGCCCGTGGCCGAACTCGCCCCATCGAGCCAACCGTTTCCCTTCGATCCGAACGGAGGAAGCTACAAGCGGTACCAGTTACGTGACTCGCTGTTGCCTGGACGTATTCCGTCCGACAACGTGTTTCTACCCGTAACAATTATGCGACAGTAATCGCAGTAAACCGACAATGAGCGAGAACAGGCGCCGGGATGTGCGAGATTAAACTCTAAACGGAGTTAATGGCGAAGCGACGAGGCTGAATGTATTAATAGCGGTGCAACGATTTTGGAAAACAAAAGAACATTTCTGTCAGCGAGTTTCGGCAAAACAAAAGTTCGTTTCCGTTTGGCGAAAAATAAATACGACGGAGGGTGAATAAAGAGAGAGTTTGATGTTCAAATCGAAGCATCTAAAATAATATTGCAACGGTTTGTGCTAGAATTTAGTGTGCTCGATTTTGTTTTGCATTTTGTATTTCTTTTTTTAAAACTTCGGAGCCTACCGTCCTAAATTGTTACGTTTTACACATATTTATATTTCTATTCATCTATATTCATCGTAGTCGAATTAATAACGTGACCTTGGGTGTAACTTGAACAATTAGAGTATCAGATTGCACGATAAACTTGTGATTTAAAATAAAATTAGTTACACGTACGTATGTTCGTCCATATTCGAAGAAGAAACACAATTACTTTTCGACCAGTCCGATAATAATATACCTTCTACTCGAAAAAAAAGGATAATAATATAATAAAGGAACATATTTCTGCTTCTCTGCGTGCGAGAGGACATTGCAAATTTAAACAAATAATAACAGTTTCCTCCTCGAAAACTCGACGTCCAGTATTTTCCACAGAAATTCTTTAAATTCAGGACGGCGAGCTTTTATCCATCGCACAATTTACCGTGAAAATTAACTCCTAATTTGTTCACTCTATCCCCTTTTTTGCTTTGATTTTAGCAGCTACGGGAGAGAAAACATTTATATACCTATGCGAGTATTGTGGAGGGGATAGCGCTTAGCGATTAGGAGAGTGGGGGCAAGGGCCGCCAGTTAGCCACCTCTGCTTTAAAAACACTAGAACTACCAAAGTATTCGAAATGACTAATCTCTATGGAAACTTGATCCATTTATAACAGTGTATCTTTAAATACTCGAGATTTTGATTTTTTTAATAAAATATATTAATAAAAGCTTGTGTTCTCTATTTTATCATTAACGTTTTCTTGCACTTTGCATTTCAATTTGCTACAAATATTATACTATATATTTTTTTGTCGGTAGTTCCAGTAGCGTCCAAGAACGCGCCAGGTATTTCCCATTATTCCATCGAGCTTTTACTATACCCGACAAAAATTAGTCTGTCTTAGAAAATACTCTACAAGTAACTTGCAACTGTCTTCGATTTATTAGTGGGATATTGATCAACAACGAAACCCGTGGTTTTCTACTCGCGCGTATTTAAAAAAAAAAAACAAAAAACGCTGTGACACATCAATCTCTTACTTACCCATAACTCGTGACAGTCGATTGACATTTTTCGGCGTTGTCGAAACCCCTTGAACGCGAGGATCCCGCGTCTAATCGATCGTGCTTGTTCGCTTCTGCTCCATGATAAGGGCCAATCGCGCGGAACGTTCTCCTTCGTTCGGCTCGCCGGCTCGCCAAATTTACATGTCCGACCGTCGTTTTACATGATAATGCAGGCCTCGATCGATCCGCATGAATATCACACGAGCATCGGATCCCTTCGGCTCGTCACGACCGATATTCCAAACAATAATCTTCGCGGTTCAAAGAGGAAAAGAAAAAAGAGAAAAATCGAACGCGGCGTTTACAGAAACAACGACATTAATTTCCGCATTTCGAACGACACTTTGCACTATTGCGGTGACTTTATCTCTTCGCCTTTGGTCGAATTCGATGGATCGTGGCTCTGAAACGTTTTACGTCGTCTTCGGGAGAGTTCCTATTTTGCAGTTACATCGGTCTTTCAGGTAGAAATTGTGTCTGCAACAAGAAAAGATGACGCTGTTTCAGAAAATCGATTGCACCTCAAACGATGAGTTTTTCTAAATTTTTATAAATGCAACGATTCAGTAATTATAAATGCAAATTCGAAATTCGGCAATTATCAATTTCAACATAAAATGGTCTCCGCTTTTGGAAAAATTTTCAAGGGATCCTTTTACAAGTACAAAATAAAATGTTATGGTATAAAGTAAAATAAAATAAAAATATAATAGTAATAAAATATAACAATAAAATAAATTATTTTTGAATAAAATATTTCACTAAACTATTACCCCTTATATCTACTCGTTATCAAAAAAAGATCATTACAAAAATTATATGAAACATTTGCAAAAACATCCATTATTCACTGTTTTGCGTTCATTCGTCATAAAAATTTAAAAAAAAAAGAAAAAAAGGGAACACATTCGCTCAACAAAATTTTAAAGAATAAATTTCTCGCTGATTTTATCTTGTCGTCGGAATAATTTCGTAAATTCGATTATGAAGCATCTCCGTGTTCAGGTGAAATTTCGGGCGTCAATATGGCCGACGTGAATTCGAAAACTCGATACCCGTGGAATATAATCAGAAGCGAATAATCTCGTTGGACACGCGCTTCACGATGGTTCGCGAAGTTCGCTTTGATACAGGGCTAAAGCCGAATTGCCATCGTAATTTATAATCGAATCTTCGTTAAATGTGACCTGGCGCTTTCTGTTTTTCCGCGCTTGATTATGCGCGAACCTGCGGGATTTCAACGATTGGCAAGTCTTGCACGTTCAATTTCACCGGATAAACTCCTGACGTCGATAGCCAGTCAATTCCAATTTATCGTTCAAATGTCCTTTTTGCTGGATTTTTGGCGAATTGTTCCCACTCGCAATCGACCGACTATTACAGACACTATATTCTTTCCACTGCGTTTCTCGATAGAAAATATTACGCGTCACGTGTTTTCATATGTATTTGTTTCGAGAGTTTTTTTTATTTTGTAGAAAATTGGCTGTTTCTATTCACCGAGTGGTGATAAAAAATTAATATCGATCGATAAGTGTAATTGGTAGAGCTCTCTTAGCTTTGCAACAGATAGTTTTGCAATACACTGTTACAAATGACAATTGGTAATACAAGTGTTGTAATTTAGTTCAGTTTGACATTATGTACATTCGTAAATTAAGATGCAAATCAAGAATGGTAGGTATCCACAATATTCGAAATGCTATACAACTACAAATGAAATTCATGTTATTCATATTATTGGGCTTGATTTTTAGAGAAAATTTAAAATTTTAAACGGTGTCAATTGTTTAACTGCGGTAGACTAAATAGTCTAGTTGGTGAGAGATGGAATTGGCATGTTTACAGATTAGATCAGATTAGATTATTTGAAGTTATTCGTAAACTAAACATTGTAATTAACTGTGTGTACTATAGGTGTATGTGTGTACATCGTATGAAACATTTTTAAATTTCACCAACACCGTCATAATTACATTGATATTTAAAGTCAACGTGTATTTATCAAATAAATATAATATATATAATATATATTAAATATATATATATTTAGTAAAATACGCATTGAATTATGTCACTGATATAATATGGAGGCTTATTAATATAAATATAACATGTAATTGTTTCTTTAAATAGTTTCATAATGTCTGTAAAAAATATATATATATATATTTACAATAAATATTCTGCAATTTCTATAGTAATATTTATTCGGATGTCTGTAAAATAAATAAATAAATAAATAAATATAAATATATATATTCAGTTGTCTGCAAAAAATATATATATATATTATAATGCCTGTAAAATATATATATATATATACAATATATTCTGCAATTTCTATAGTAATATTTATTCAGATGTCTGTAAAATATATATATATATATATATATATATATATATATTTTACAATAAATATTCTGCAATTTCTATAGTAATATTTATTCATATATATATATATATATACATATTCGTATTATAATATTCTGTAATTTCTCTACATATATTTAAATTTGTTTTAAACTTGATTATAATAACAATATAATCACGAAAATCCTATCTCATTCAGTGTTAATGTTTCATACAAGACGCACGGAATATATTGAAAAACGTTCAAACACTTTCGTGAGAATTATCAATTCTATGATGTATAATCTTCAAATTACACGAGGTGTACGCGAGGCTTGAGAGAATTCCCTCCCTAATACGAGAGAATATCTACCAACCGATCGTGGGATTGTGTCGTTCAACAGTATCGATGATCGTCAATCGAAGGCAAACGGACAAACGAGACTGTTTCATCCGTACGGGTCGGGGCACCGGTTTACTGAAAACAGTCGATACGGTGATTCGTTCCGTGACTGGACGAAATACATTTCACAGCCATAAATTTTCCCGTTCGCTGTTTGAACGTGAAATTAATTTCATTCGCCGCGCAGAAGCGACGAATTAATTAAAAACGCTCGTTGTCGAACGAAGACACGCGCGATAACAACTCCGACGTCGGGTAGAAATTTTCATGTAAATTTAACCTGTATTTTTTTTCCCCTCCTCACTTGCCACCGCCCACTCATCAACCGGATAGTGAGCGTGAACAAAAGTTGAAACGAACGAATGCCTTTGATTCAAACTAATTTTCCTTGTCTCTCTCTCTCTCTCTCCGTTCTTTTTATTTCCTCTTATCAGAAAATCGTTTTCCCGTTATGAAAATGCTTCGTCGTAGAAATTAAGCGTGTCGTTATTTCTATGACGTTACGAGTGTTCGAATTAAATAAACAGCTCGAGTTCAATAACTTTATACATTTGGGGAAAATTGAGAGTTGTATGAACGTGTGAACGTATGCTTGTCATGTACAAAAATGTTCAAAGTAGAACATATAGATAATAAATGTAGTTAATAAAACTTTTTCCAGATTTGATTTCTATAGCAATGTTCGTGAAAATTTCAGTAAACATTCTAGTTATAACTGTTTTTTGTTCTGAATTTTTTTTTGGAGCGTTTTTACAAATATATTAACTGCTAAGTTAATGCGTTATTACGTATTATATAAAATATAAAAAATATAATAAAAAATAATTTCTTGTAATATAAAAAGAAAGCATCCCATTTAAAAAGTTGAAGATCACTTTCATTTCTTAAGAAAATAATATGAACATAATGTATCACGAGATATACGGAGAAAAATACACAGCACTGTAAAATGATCTCACGAATTGCTAATCTCTGCAAATTGATGACACGTTGTTGATTCTTCGAAACGGGATCGACTTCGATCATAAATGGAGCGCAACGTCGCGTCGAATAATGGACAATCTCATTCCGAATACACGTGCAACATTGCAAACGTTACGAGCTTACAAATTAGCAAATTTTTCAAATGGATGCATTTGAAATTGAACTTGAGTGACAAAGAAAAAGAAAAAAAAAAATCATTTCAGAATCCTCCTAATTAAATTAACAACTTTGGTTGCAACGATATACCCAAATTCTGAACAATGTTGCATCCTTTGAATCACGATTCATGAAAAAACAATTAATATAAATAAATGTAATAAATAAATATAAATAAATATAAACAAATGTAATAAATAAATATAAATAAATATAAATAAATGTAATAAATAAATATAAATAAATATAAATAAATGTCATAAATAAATATAAATAAATATAAATAAATGTAATAAATAAATATAAATAAATATAAATAAATGTAATAAATAAATATAAATAAATATAAATAAATGTAATAAATAAAAAACTGTGTTATAGATACCGGGAGATATTCAAAGAACTTTCTACGAAGAAAAAATGGAGACATCCAATAAAAATTTAAATAAACACTCTTCGACGACTAATCGCCGCTCTCGTTTCTTTTTCGTTATAATAAAAGCGTTAATGGAAACAACAAAAAAAAAAAAAAAAAACGCGAGACGAGCTTCGTTCTTAATTTCCCGTGAACACGACGTCGTCGGAATTTAACCTGACTACGCAGCCAGTGTAGGTAAATCTAGGTGACTGCTTGACAGTGGCAACATTCGCAGATTCAGACAAGGGTGCAGACGTATCTGTCTAAGAGGGCGGAAAACGGACTGACTGCCTTGAAAGGGTCATCTCGAGAGAGAAAGAGAGTGTCAAGAATCATGCTCACGGCAGTTCAACGTGGTTGAAATAATTGAACTGAGCTACATTTTACGCTGAATATAATAACGCAATACAATATAAAACATTATAAATGAAAATACTTACATATAATGAATATACTTGCTTATATAATAAAATATTTTTTTACAAATATAGAATAATATATTTAGAAATTTATTACCTACAATACAGACAATATGAAATTATTCGATAGAAAGCAATTAAATTCGTAAATTTAATCGATCATCAATATAAATATTTAATATATCCTTATAATTATATATTATATAAATATGTAAATATATGTATATACTATATAACTATATACTAATAATATTATATAAATGTATAAATACAATATTATAACTATATAAATATTTAATATATATAACTATATATTATAAATATATTCTATATTCTAATAGAATAACATGTTATTTATATTTCGTAAAAGTTTGCGTATTAATACATTCTTATATTCTATCTCAAATATTATATTTTGTAACGTATATAAAATATTTTTCTTACAGAATGATAAAATTACAAAAGCGTCTTAGAACAGTTTAGAGTACTTCAAGATCGAAATAAGAAAAGAAATTTACTCGAAAAAGGAACTTACTGCACACAATAAAATCGTACACAATGGAATAAATCTAAGAAATATTTGTCGAACATATTTCTGTTATCATTAGAACAGATTAACACAGTTTCACTTCTTTTATGTTATTGATTATTGAATAATTATCTATGCTTGATTATTAAATAAGACAATTATTCGTCGTTTAAACGTCGTCAATAATATCGATGAATTCGTGCAACGAAAATTGTT